GACACAAGCCACAGGACCAGGCAAAGGAAGTAGTCATAAGTAGCAGTGAATGGAATCAGAGCGGTGCAGAAGGCATGTGTATGTGCTCATTAAAATACCTCAGTACCGCTGGTCAGTCCTGCCAGACCCTCACAGGATGCTCTTGGATACATCTGCAGACTGAGGACTGTTCACCCCAAGTTAATGTTGCAAATACCATCTTTCAGAGGGTTACCAAAAGTAAAAGATTTCCTTGGCGGGGGGTCCCTGAAAAGGCTCCGCTTGAGAACCCTAGTGATGCATGTGCAGCTTTCATCGCTGAGCTTTACTATTGCAATGCATATGAGTTGCATGCCAATTGTGTGTGTGCCAGGTATCTAGGTAAAAAATTTAAATGGGATGGTGACTGCCACCAAGGAATTCCTAGTCTAATGGAAGAAGTAGACCCCTAAACAGAAAGAAAAAGGGGGGCCTAATATGTATTGGCAGCCATGCCAGTTGTCAGCTTGGCAAACGCCTGACTCCTAGGGCTGAGGAGGGGAGCTCGACTGTCATCCGCTTCTCCAAAGATTGATAAATTAGATGCAGACAGCGAGAGCCCAGCGCTGCCAAATAAATCTTCAGGCTTGAAATATAACTGTGGTATATGTAGAACTCTGAGAACATACTCGCACCCTACATGCCATTTTCCTGAAAACTGTAGAGGTGGGAGAAAATATGATAATAATGATAATAATCACTGTAACGAGGGGGCACCTGGCTGGCTCAGTTGGTAGAACATGGGACTCTTGATCTCGGGGTTGTAAGTTCAAGCCCCACGTTGGGTGTAGAAAAAATTTAAAAGTAAAAAAATAATCTTAAAAAAATTACTATAATGAGGTCCATTCTCTGCCTTTCTGGAAGGGAATGGTCAGCAGTGGATGTTGTCTGTTTTGAATGGGCCAAGGAGGGGTCCTCTTCTCCTGGACACACACCCACACCCTGCTGACCACAGTGCACGTGTGTGTGTGTGTGTCCCCTTGTCCGTCACGGGCAAAAAGTGAACTGAGAGTGAGAAGGGGAAGAAATAAACCAGAAGCTGCTGGGCTGGACTTGGATTCTGGAGTGACATTTCCTTTGAGGTCACTAATGGTCCTGAGAAAACCACTTCTTTTTTTTAAAAAGACTTTATTTACTTATTTGACAGAGAGAGAGATAGTGAGAGCAGGGATGCAAGCAGGGGGAGTGGGAGAGGGAGAAGCAGGCTTCCCGCTGAGCAGGGAGCCCAACGCGAGGCTCGATCCCAGGACCCTGGGATCATGACCTGAGCCGAAGGCAGACGCTTAACAACTGAGCCACCCAGGCGCCCGAGAAAACCACTTCTTTTCCCTTCCTTAGCTGCTCGGTCAGATAGGTGGTGTGGAGACAGAGCTGAACAACTCTCTGGGCAGGTGTTAAGCTCTTTATCTCTTTGCAGCTAAGGGGCATGCTTCTCTACCTCGTCCCAAGCCAGAAAAGAATCAAACCTACCACTTGTCATACTGAATCTTATCTATTTTTCCTTACAGACACAATAGGTATCGTACCCTTTCTTTGGTTTTACTGATCATCAGGTTAAAGCTCAAAGAAATAAATTAACTCTGAAGTTTCACAGTTAATCAAATAATGCATATTATTAATAGCTGTGTGATTAACTCTTTTAATTCTCATGTCTTTTTACCCCCTACTGTAATTTGAATAAGTAAATTTCCATTTGCCTCTATTCCTAGAAATTGAATGCACTCTGTGTACTTTGGAAAGTCACAAATTCTCTCCCCCCACCACTCATATTTTGTTTGAGTTTCTATTAGGCCGAAACAAGCTTTAAATTTTTTAACCAATTCTGTCACATCTGTGATCCACAACATGCAAAATTAGATTCCCTCCCACTCTTTCTCATTCTAGAAAACTCAGCCATGTCTATGATATTTTCCCCTAACTTTACAACTTTCTGCTTGGTTGATTGACTTGCCGTTTAAAAATACATTTCTGAATAGTTTCTCTTTCTCTTGACTGAATGGGGAGGAGGGAAGACAAAGGGTATGATCATCAATTTAATTTGAGAATAAAGAATTTGTCATGAATATTACTTTTCTCAAGACAAAATAAAATAGGAAAACTTCGTTGAGTTTGGGTGCTGTGCTCCTGTCTTCAATTGAATTGAGCAAAAAGCTCCCCGTAGAATCAGCCCCTCTGCCAGGGACCTGCCCTCCTATCCCAGCCACAACCAAATTTGTCTGCCTCCTAAGCATTCGTTCATTTTTTCAAACTCAGATCATCACCTCCACCAGGATGTCCTCCTTAACTTCTCCCCTTCTTGCATCCAGTTTTCTCTCTTGCCCAGTCCATTTATTCATTCACTGATTAACAAATATTTCCGAGCACCCATTAAGTGCCAGGCATTGAGCTAAGCACAGACCATGCACCAGCGAACACAGCTACCCAGCTCCCTGCCCTCCTGTCTCCTCTGGTCTCCTGGGGGAGACATTTTATAAAGACAGGAAACACACAGATAAATGTGTGATTACAACTGGAATGATTCATGAAGGAAATAAAGATGCTCTTGGAGACTGAAGAACCTGGTGGAGGAACAAGGAACACACGGTGTTGTGAGTTTTCAGTTTGCACGTCGGTCCTCTGGAGGAGGCTGGGGGCTCCTTGACTCTCACCCTCATCTTCCCTGTCCCCAGCAGCGGTGAGCTCCGCAGGGGTCCTTGCCCCCTGCAGGGTTGGGAGAGGGAGGGGGAGGCGGGCAGGCACGGAGATGGGTGCCTGCAGGTCACCTGACACCTGCCTCCTCCCAACCTAGGGGCTTCTGAAAGCACTGGGGATTCTGCTGAGTAAAGGACATAAACACATGCCCACCAGAGTGAGGAAGGCAGCCTTTGTTCAGGAAAGAAGGTGCGAGATTGCCGGTGTGGAAGTGATGCCTCCTTCAGCTCCCCAGTGGGGACTGTTGTCTCATAACCTTGAGGACAGCCCGAGAGGTGGCTCACTAGATGTTAACACTACCCAGGACATGACTAACGGCCTGGCTGGAGTTCTGTTTACACTCTTTTCTTTTCAATTCTATAGGATTAATAAATAGAGCATATTAAATTCTTTTCAGAAATTTCTGTGGGACAATATGCGAATTCTTTTGTAAAAAGTATTTCACCTTTTGACAGGCTTGAAAGAAGTAGTCAACTGTAGCTAAAAAATAAAAGTGCATCGATAGAAGTAGAACACCAGTCAATAGTAGGCCGAGAGTTCATGAGTCACACTGGACAAGACACTTATTCTCTGGGATTCATTTTCAATTTTAGCAAAGAAATACTTGCTCTTGATTCACAGGATTCTTATGAAGGTGTTATTCTTCTTTAAATTATGTAAACTTTAAGTTCTTGAGATGAAATGTACTTTGTAAATTCAAAGTATAATCTAAATTAAAAAAATAGGTTGCAGCTTTTAAATATAATGAACTTGCTACTTTTCTCACCTGTTTTTTTTTCCCTCAATTTTAGTGGGTCAGAGAAAATAAAACATCAGCCCTATTGCACCCATTTCAGTTGAAGGCTTGTTATGAAAGCCTTTTTTTCCCTTTCATCTTTTAATTCTGAAGAGTATGGTTCCTTTAGGTAAAAAAATGAGATCATAACTTACAGAACCATTAATTATTTAAGGGAAATTGTCCAAATCACATTTATTCATATGGAATTGCTCTCCACAATTTTATTACTCTATATGTTATAATCAGCAAAACAAAGATCTTAATAAAATCCAGGTGATGGGGCACCTGGGTGGCTCAGTCCTTAAGCGTCTGCCTTTGGCTCAGGTCATGATCCCAGGGTCCTGGGATCGATCTCTGCATCGGGGAGCCTGCTTCTCCCTCTTCCTCTGCCTGCCACTCTGCCTACTTGTGCTCTCTCTGTCAAATGAATAAGTAAAATCTTTAAAAATAAAATAAAATAAAATAAAATCCAGGTGACAAATTTCTCAAGATGTTAAAAATCTTTCACTATGTCCACTTAAAGCATTAGTAGTTTGTATTAGGAAGTTTTATTTATATTTAAAACTCTTGTATCTAGTCTTCTACAATTATTAAAAGTAATACACCTTTAAATGTTTGTAAGAAATATTTATAAATGTAATATGCAAAGTTCTATTTGGTTTTCTTAAACTGTTTTAAAGAGAAAAAATAATGTCATCCGTATATTAAGGTTTGTTTTAAAGAGGCCTGTCTTCAGATGTGTCCATATCATAGACAGTCATGGAAATACAAACTTTTACAGTGTCCATTATAACAAATTATTAGTAATAATTTTTTCTGCTAATTAAAAGTGACAGAAAAATCTTGACAGATTAATATCTACAATAAATATATAATATTAGAGAAAGGTGCTTTGTCAATTTAATGAATTATTGTAATGATTTTTGATGACAAAAAATTTCATGGAAAAATTACTGGCTTAATTCGAGCTAAAAATTTCTCAGCTTTAATGATCTCTCTCATTGGTTCCCTGAATTTTACCATTTGCATTTAATTTCCTTTATGCCAGGCTTTATGCTAAGCTTCTGGTGAGCTTTGTGTAGGTTTGTTGTGGGTTTGTTTTTTTTTTAATGCATTCTATTTCTGAGAGGATAATTCTCCATGATGCCTTAGTGAGCTTGATTCTATTAAGCTGCTTTGCTGTCTGGATACCAGTTGCCTGGGGGGGACAGAGATTCTGAAAGGGACCAGAACCAAAAAGTAGGGTTGCTGTAGGGCCGGCCCAGAACAAGGAGTAATGGTCACTGATCCTGTGCAATTATCAGAGGTTTCTGGGTGGCAAACGTGTGCCTTGCCAGAGGTCTTTCAGCCCGAAGGCTTTCTCTGATGAATTCAGCACACTGATCAAAGGGTTTGCGTTGGTCTCCTTTATTCATTCCGTCAATGAGAACTTGAGAATGAAAGAGATGGTTAAATGCCGACTGAAGTGAAATGTTTAAAAAATTAATTTGTCCTTCACTATTGTGTGTTTCAGAGACTGGAGCACAAGGAAGTGTTAGTGGGCTTGTTGTTCCTGGTTTTCCCGTTCATTCCAGCCAGCAATCTCTTCTTCAGGGTGGGTTTTGTGGTGGCCGAGAGAGTCCTTTACATGCCTAGGTAATTATCGCTCGTGATTTCCTCTTTACGAGACCTGCCTTCCGTCACCAACATGGATAGTTCCAGAGGGACGGTCCTTTGCGTGTGTCACAATTAGGTCCTCGTGTTGCTGAGGCGTGTATTACCTCAGCTTTCACAACAGCCGCAGGGAGGTCTGGGCGAGCTCGGGCTTGCACCTGTTCACTCCGGCTCACAGCGGCTTAACTCCAGCTGGGAGCTTGACGGCTAAATGGGAAGTACTGACTTGAGTATATTCGGGATTCCAGGGCAATCATTTACCCCAATATCTATGTTTCATTAAACGTAATTTTAGTAATTTTCTAGAAATATTTGATTTGCATAAAATTATTACTTGTTAAGTAACACGAGTATAATTATATCTTCTTCCTTCTTTCTCTTTTCCTTTCTTTGTTCTTTTAATTTAAAAATAGGTACAATCTCAAGAAAATTTGTCCTTGAGAAAAAAATGGTTAAAAATTATAAAGGGTCTTCAGCCATATGTCATTACATAATGCCACTTATCTCTGAATATTTGAACTCTGCTGAAGCTTGTCTGTTCTCTTGTCAGTGTTTCAAGTCCACATTTCTTTTCAGATGCCTGGAAAAGTCCCCTAAGTGGTTCTGCCTTTAATCCATTGTGTAACCTTGAGCAAGATGTGAAGCTTTTTTGAACCCAGGCTTTCTCATTTTTTTTTTTTAAGATTTTATTTATTTATTTGAGAGAGAGAGAATGAGAGAGAACACAGGAGAGGGGATAGGGTCAGAGGGCAAAGCAGACTCCCTGCCGAGCAGGGAGCCCGATGCGGGACTCGATCCAGGGACTCCAGGATCATGACCTGAGCCGAAGGCAGTTGCCCAACCAACTGAGCCACCCAGGCGCCCCGAGGCTTTCTCATTTTTAAAATAAGGATTTTAGTAAACTTCCTAAAATTAAGTAGTATCATGAAAGTTATATAAGAATGAACTTTTGTAAAAGGCAGTATCCTAAACCAAAAAATTATAAGGAAATCATTATTGTTATTTATTGAGTTAGGAATTTTATTTTATTTATTTTTTGAATTTTATTTTTGTTTCAAATTTTTATTTAAATTCTAGTTAGTTAACATATCGTGTAATATTGGTTTCAAGAGTAGAATTCAGTGATTCATCACTTATATGTAACACCCAGTGCTCATCACAAGAAGTGGCCTCTTTAATGCCAGTCACCCATTTAGCCCATCCCCCACCCACCTCCCCTCCAGCAACCCTCAGTTTGTTCTCTGTCTTTAAGAGTCTCTTATGGTTTGCTTCCCTCTCTCTTTTCTCCTACGCTTTCCCTATGTTCATCTGTTTTGTTTCCTAAATTCCACATATGAGTGAAATCATATGGTATTTGTCTTTCTCTGATTGGCCTATTTCACTTAGCATAATCCTCTGTAGCTCCATGCATGTCATTGCAAATGGCAAGATTTCATTCTTGTTGCTGGCTGAGTACTATTCCTGTGTGTTTGTGTGTGTGTACACACCACATCTTCTTTATCCGTTTATCAGTCAGTGGACATTTGGGCTGTTTCCATAGTTTGGCTATTGTCGATGATGCTGCTATAAACATCAGGGTGCATGTGCCCCTTTGAATCTGCATTTTTGTATCCTTTGGGTAGGAATTTTAATTAACTTTAAATTTTATTTTTGAATTAATTTAAATATCAATAGATTTTAATTTTATTAATTGATATTGAGTTAGAAATTTTAAAACACAAATAATTAGGAATCAATTTCATAACCTTTGATTACCCCTAAGCCAAGTACCTAACAGTTTTTCCAAGTCTTTACAGCTTCTTGTTTTGACTTGGTTAAGGAGAGAGGGCAGTCCTTAATTTTCTTCATAGGTCTTCAGTACCATTTGGGAAGGCGGTTATTTCTTTCTTATTTTTTTAAAGATTTTATTTATTTATTTGACACAGAGAGAGAGAGAACACAAGCAGGCGGGGAACGGCAGGCAGGGGAGAAGCAGGCTCCCTTGCTGAGCAAGGAGCCCGATGCGGGACTCGATCCCAGGACCCCGGGATCATGACCTGAGCGAAGGCAGACGCTTAACTGACTGAGCCATCCAGGTGCCCCAAGAAGGCGGTTATTTCTTGATAAATACTATTTGTTAAGGACAAAAATACAACAGAAATTCTTTGTATTCTGTATTGCTGTGAGATAGCAGGCTTATGAGACCTTGCCAGTAATAGGGAATATGAAGGGCAAAGGGGATTCAGTGTCTGTTCTAGGTATGTTTTTGCTTAGACCAGCTGAAAGTGGCTTCAGTCTGCTCTTCTCCGTAGTGTGGATGATTGCAAGTGGAACCTGTGTTCATTCTTCACCTAACAAGTTTTCATAGAGCATGTTTGCATTCTGTACTAGAATCTGAGCCTACAAAGATAAGTGAGTCTTGGTGCCTGCCCTCAAAGAGTTTAGCTGCTGATAAACATGAATTAATGTTAATTGTATCAAAACTTCTAGTGAACCTCTATTATATATCAGTCACTATGCTGAGCATATTATATTTATCAGTTCACTCACACTGTTTATGTAGTAGTCCATAGCTCCCCCCTGAAGTTAGGGGGCCTGTGTTTGAATTCTGGCTTAAGCATGATCATGTGTGATGCCACAAAGCCTCGCTTCCCTCATCTGTATAAAATGAAGATAATAGCACCCAACTCAAGGAGACATTGTGAGCATTAAATGAGATGATCATTTAAAAAGCTTAGAAAGCGTTTTGCATTGTATGTGGTCAATGAAAAAATGTAGTTTAAGTGTTATTGATTGATGTCAGCTCCCTAGGTAGCTGATGCCATTACCCTGTTTTACAAAAATATAACACCTGGGTGCTAAGAAGTTAATGAACTTGCTCAAGATGGGCAGAGCTGAAATGCAGATCTTTGTCTACTCAAGGACCTCTCACCTTCCAGACTATATTGCTTCTCTGATAGTAACATCTTAGTATTCTTTTTAAGTGAAAAGAAGAAACTCAGAACACAGTAAACGTACTTTCAGCTCAACTCCATTTGGTGATCAGGATGTATACTTCTAAGAGTCCTGTGAGATAAATCCTCAGGAATCTGGGATTTGGGGGGACAAAGAATTGCATGTGCAGCAAACTTTTCTAATCCAGAGACAAGAGAACAATTTCTGAGGAAATAAAGGGCTGGAATTTTAAACAAGAGGTTAAAATGTCATTTTTCTGGAAGAGACCCTTATGTCAACATTATTAAACCCATAATACTGTTATCATCAATTGGTGGGGTGTCTTAGTTAAAATAAGGGGTTCCACTCGCCTAGGTAGGTGAATTTCCCTAAACCTACAGAATCATGCCGGTTCTGGCTCTTCCTGAGTGCCGTATCTTAAATAGACCTTTCTCTGACTTTCAAAAAATGATTTATTTATTTTAGAGAGAGAGAAAGCACGTGCACAAGCAGGGGGAGGGATGGGGGAGAGAGAGAGAGAGAGAATCCCAAGCAGACTCTGTGCCAAGCATGAAGCCCAACATGGGGCTCGATCTCACAACCCTGAGATCATGACCTGAGCCAAAACCAAGAGGATGCTCAACCAGCTGAGCCACCCAGGCGCCCCGACCTTTCTCTGACTTTCTTTTCTCTAAAACAGACAAAGTAGTGTCCCTGTCCTTTTACCGCTAGGTATAAGTTCATTTGGATTAAAATGAAAGTTCTGAATATGAAGAAAGCCTCAATATTTCCAAGAACAAGTGCCTGCCTCTTAGAACCTACTCGGATTTTGCTCCATTTTGCAAACTTGGTGCAGAGTCATCCAAAATCAGGGTCAGTGAGCTGGTCTTTATTAAAGAGATGACTATCTTTTTTTCTTTTCTACCCTGCATGTGTGCATTGCATTGTTGACATTCAGTCATCATTTTCCGAGGGTTTCAGCAGCTTTTTGCCCAGCTATCCACTGTTTTCCACTGAGATGGGGCAGCTGGTCACTGCTGGGTAAAGTCTTTTCCAGGGAAAGTCCCCCATTTTCCTAGAAAACTGTCAACGTTTATAAATGGAGTGTGCTGAAGTCCTTAGCGCCGCTGGAAGCTTCCTGGGGACCACAGAGAAGTTGGCCTGTGCCTTAGGCATCCCTGGGAAAGCATGAGAACACTGGGTGTTGCCTGTTGCACTTATGAAGGTTAGACATTGACTTTGGCGATGGTGAAGACCATTTCCCAAGCCTTTTACACACACAGGAATCTTCTCTGCATGACTCTCCCTACATTATTGACCTTGACAAGAAAGAGCCATTTTCCACAGCTTGAAGTACCCAGGTGCTTTGAGGAAAACATACACACAGTGTCCTCAATGGAAGTTTGGTAATACCTGTCATCATCTTTATGCAGACATCTGTGTTCTCTCAAAAACTCTAGCAAACGACAGGACAATGAAGTTAAAAGCTGACTTGGTAATTCTTCTGAGGAAGTTGAACTTTCTACTCATTAAATGTTTGTTTCAAGTGATATGGAGCCAAATCTTGGCCTTAGATTCTATCCATAGCACCACAGAAATCATGTCTACCCTCACTGAAGCCTGGGTGACTCCCATCAGGCCCAAGGGCTGATTTGGCTATTTTACAAGAAAAGCCCAGAATGAGTCAGACCAAGTACTCTTTCATCTCTGCCTTTATGCCTAACAATGAATAAGGCACTCAAATCTTCTGGCTTTTGTTCTCCCTCCATCCTAACTTAGATAAGACCCAAAATGTCACCTTCCTCTGACTTGCACTTTGAAATCTGTGGATAAAAGGGACAGAAATAGGCTATCTATTTATCATTGCATGGCTTTAGGGTCAGAGTTTCACCACCAAAAGAAATTGGAATAATCTTTTCTTCTGGTGATAAATGCCTATTTTGTGGATTTCCTTTTTGAACAGGCAGGAGAGTTTGGGGCTTTTTAACAGATATTTTGATCTCTTATTCTTCTCTCCAGAGAGGCATAATGTTTTATGGCTACTTTTTTTTTTTTTTGTATTTTATAAA